TTTTCAATATAAATAACAGTATGCAGCAAAGATTTTAATTTACATATCTGTATCAAATTATATCAACAAATAAATCAAAATCTACAATTTCTTTGCCCCCAAGACACATGCCTCCCTATAACCTATACAAACACATGTGGTAGGAAAATTGTGAAATGGCAAGTACATTATTAAAAATCAAAATTATAAAATTTCTAATAAATCTGCGCAGTCTGATCAGGATCCATGCTGTTCGCTATCAGTTTCTCTACTTGTTATAGGGTTTGTAAGGGAACAGCATGGATCCTGATCAGACTGCGCAGATGCGCAGGCTGGTCTGGATCCATGCTGGTCGCAAACCCATTATGTTGGTTTTGTCGTGACGCGGCTCATATATATGTTTGCTATCTACTGATGTTTAGATTACACTAAAACTACTGTGTTAGTCATATGTTGACACTCAAACTTAGTTACCTATAGTGTAGGAAAACGAACATTATAAGAAGACTCGCACTTATCTGTCATTACCTCAGTTGACAGAAAGTATGAAATTTATGGAAAGAAGTTTTTCCTAATGATTATACATAAACTTGTAAAGTAGTAACAGACTGTATAAAAGGTACACTTCATTACCGTGTTAGCTAGCTCATGAAAATTATTCATTAAGCCAATGAAAATTTCATCTACTTAAGTTCCTAGTACCTATTTCAGAAACATGACAATTTGATACTTTATTGTTTTTAGTTTAAGGTGCAACACGATAATAACTAAGGTGTAGAAAAATTTCTTTGTCTTTTGATTTGAAGATTACTGAGCAAACATTTAGTAAAGGTAACAGGTTTCAGTATTGTGAAATTGCCATTTGAGCCGCGTCACGACAAAACAAATGATATGCGTTTGCGACCAGCATGGATCCAGACCAGCCTACCCATCCTCGCAGTCTGATCAGGATCCATGCTGTTCGTTTACAATTACTCTATAACAAGTAGAGAAACTGATAGCGAACAGCATGGATCCTGATCAGACTGCGCGGATGCACAGACTGGTCTGGATCCATGCTGGTCGCAAACCCATTATGTTGGTATTGTCATGACACGGCTCATTTTAAATACAAAATGCAGTTATAATTTCCATAGTAATTTGATATTGAGTGTTAAAGTAGTTTTACTGTCCCTCCAAAAACATCGGCCAGTATCAAAAAAAAATTGGTCATTTACTGTCCCTCCAAAAAAATCTCACATCGGCCAATATTGTAAAAAAATTGGTCATTTCTGGAACGTTATTTTTCAAAATCTTCAGTATTCAATAATTTTTAACCGTTTACAATTTATTACATAGCGATAAAGGATGCGTGATTGTAAATAATCTAATGTCCGAGATTTTGAAAAAAGTAACATTCTGGAAATAACCGATTTGCTACAATATTGGCTTACACTAAAACTTCCTTAAAAATATGAAAATATACTGTCAATGTAGATTGCACAAAAAGCAGGATTCATGATTCACAAACATTTCCTCATGCTTAATGTCTTAAATCTTTCAAAACTGTGATTATGACAACTTTTTGATGCACAAGTATATCCATTTATACAGTAAAATGAGACATAATTGCATGCATTGAGGATACTGAATGAGTGTAGGTTTAAAACTGAATTTATTAAACGAGTTGAATAAAATTTATTAAGCGAGCCTCTCCAGGCTACCACAATATTTTTTTTATTCAACTAGTTGTATAAATTAAGTATTGAATCTAGACGAATATAATATTCTATTTATCACATATATAAAATAAAGATGGTAAACTGTTAAAAAAGAGTAATCTTTCAATGACGCCTGTAGTTTAACGATTACATAAGTGGGCTTTAACGCTATCTTAAAGATATTAATATACTGTTGGAATAAGTGTAAAATTTAATGTGGATTGCACAAAATGCAGGATTCATGAATCTCAAACATTTACTCATGCTAAATGTCTTAAAAACTTCCGAAATTGTGATAGCAACAACTTTTTGATGAACAAAAATATCCACCTATACAGTAACACGAGACCTACATGTATGCATGCACACTCTAAACCGTTGTATGCTCAAACACTTATCAGGTTTAATAACAGACTTTATCCTTGTGGGAAAAAAAAGGCCATTCATTATTTTAGTGGAAAACCAAAAATGATATGAAAAATCAAAAATGATATAAATACATGTATCCCTTACGGAATTCACTTATAAGTCACTTATAGGCTATTTTATAGGTAGATTATACTTCACTTAGTCAATTTACCTATAAGTCAAGTATATGTATTTTAAATGCAAATTAGATGTAAGTGCAGTATATGTCTGGCATTTTGACATATAAGTGAAGTATAAGTTATATATAAGTCACAAATATGTGACATGTAAGTCAAAGATTTGCTAAACTTATAAGTAACATATAAGTGACTTATATGTTACATATAAGTGACTTATATGTTACATGTAAGTGACTTAATATAAGTCACTTATCAGTAGCATATAAGTCACATGTAAGTCACATATATGTTGCTTGATGTCAAAAAAGCTAGAATGAAAATAAAAGTTTAGTAATTTAATTTCAAAAGTGTTTATTAATTTATATTCTTAGTCATATAAATGAGCAAAATACAAAATTCATCATGCATATCCTTCAGTTCAATCATCTTACATTCACTATAACAAAAACAATATTTATTTCTAGCAGCAAGTTTTTGTAGGTACTGGTTTTCTTGGAATCAAACACTTTATTTATACAATTATTTTGCTGGAAGTCTGTCGGTGAGGAACTCAAAAATTTGTTCAAAGGTTTCTGATTATTTAAACTACTATTTCTTTTATTGATGTCTGTTTCAGTCATTTGATTCTGTTTCCTCGGAGAACTTCATGTGGCTGTGTTCACCTTTAAAGATAAAATTCATAATTAATTAAAAAGGATGTGGAATAAATTGTGTATGCATATACAAATATACTAAGTTACACAGAATCTCATTTCAGTTCACAAGTCACCAGTGTTGTTTAAGAATTGCTAAAAGTCTCTTATAAGAATTGATTAACTGCACTATTTGAAACAATATTTATTATGCTTTTTTTCTTGGAAATATTGTAGTAAGTATAGAGATTAAAAAATATACCTTTTCCAGGCTCCATACTGCATATCATTATTCACCTGGCATCTCAAATTTAAGTAAGAACTGGTCCCAGTGTCTAGCCTGCAAATTGTATGTAAAATGTAATATCAGATTTCTCCATTGAAAACAACAATAAAATGATAAATGATTATGATGACTTGGCTCATAAAACTTTTGATTGTACTATTTAGTCCTAATAATTCAATTAATTTGACTATTATATCTAGATTTAAATCAATTACGAGTATTAGTAAATCTAATGTATGAAGCTTAGAAATAAAAAACAGCCTTGATCTCTCAAGTTACAAATTTTAGTTTGCTGCCATCTTACTTTGATTGTTTAATATATAACCTGTATCTGCATAAATGTAACTCAAAGGTATTTACCTGATTTTGTTGTAAATCTTCTTGTCCAAGGTGATTCTTCTTGTCATTCTTATTTACCATTACTATACTTAAACATCTTAAACAAAACAATATCTCTAAAATTCCTAAAACATCAAGTAGATTCTCTGTGATTTCCACCAGCTTGCTAACCTAAATGTTTTAGACTTACAACTGTGTACCTGGGCAGGTCCAATATTATGTAAAACAGGGTAAATCCAAAAATCAAAGCACTCATCATTTCTATCTTACAATCATTGAATGTGAAAAAAATCAAATAACTAATAGATATGTAAATTTTAAAAATCATTATACATTTTTGAAAAAGAAAATGCAATGCTCTTTTTTACAAATTCAGGATAGGAAATGTTATCTTTCCCCAAAATAATCACATGGAACAGTCTGAGTTGTAGGAATGACCAGTCAGAAAATTAGTCAAGCACAGATGGTGGCAAAGGCAGGTGGCCAGTTTTATCAGACCTCTGATCTATGTGGTGTAAAAAATCAGTGGATGTAGAAAATATATGCAATCATCAGGCATATTGGTTCCTTGATTTTATATAGATTAAAAGGGCAATATAAATGAGTTTATTTCAAGCACTGTTTTTTTTTTATTGTTTAAATATCTAAAATACACTAGGCCTAAATGTCTTAAAAATAACACTTGTAATTATTAAAAAATACACCTCTTTTTCTTGTTAGAATATCTTACTTCAGCAATATTAGGTCTGTAAGAAGTACAGTAGGTAAAAACATATAGATTTCAATGTCTGTTTCAAGTAAGAAAAAAAACAAGAGTATAATTATGCCTTGGGTGACTTTTATGTGAAATTTTTTTTCCTTGTGAGAAGAAATGACATGGAATTTCATTTCTGTCCATGGTAGCCTAGAAATCACTGATTGAATGCCATTTCTGCCCCAATTCCGCACAGAATCTGTGCCAAAATTGTTTACAGGTAATATACTTAATTGATAATCATTTTTTCTGCATCTTATTTAAAAAAAACATCTGTGTTGAATAATTAATAAGCAACATTTAAAAAAAAATCTTAATTGTTTGTGATTAAGGTCTAAGGTTATAGTATTTTAAATTCTGAGTATTTTGATACCCATTGTGTTAAAGCAAAGACTTACAAATCAACTTCAATAAATTTTATCAATTTTTCTCATGTTTTGTACTTAGTAATTTTTTCAGCTTTGCTCAGTTATAAAAGGTCTTGCAAAAGTTCTAAGTTTTCACTTATATCTAACATAGAAACTGGTTACTTCAAACTTCACCAGTATAAGGCACTTATAGGTGACTTATATGTGACTTACATGTTGGGGAAAAAATGGCCAAAAGTGACTTATATGTAGCATATACCTATAACTGACTTAGACATGTTTTTAGGTGATTTATAAGTGACTTATATGTAACTTATAGTTCTCTTATAGGTCAAGTATAAGTTGCATACAAGAAACATATAAGTCATTTAAAGTCATTTTGGTAAGGGTATATATATAATACAAACTAAACAGCAAACAATGTAGACGAGAATCAGATAGCACGTCAGTGTGCAGGTGTAACATTAAATAATGACCCTGTTGAAAAATGACCCAATGCATTGAAGAAAAAAAAACCCTGGGTCATTTTTCAATAATGAAAATTAACCATACTAACATGTCAACAATAATGAAACCATAATGAATTATTTGGTCTGTACATTAACAGTTTTCTCAGCTTTTCAAAGAATAAAGACTGCAGTATTGTTTACATACATGAAATACTTTTTGACTTGAGCACACTTTAAATATTGGCAGATCATCCGAAAGTGGAATATCTACAAAAATTCAGCAAATGTAATGGTTTCAGCAATAAGTAAAGGTTTAAGCTATAAGTCTATAATTAATTATACACTATACAATAATATAACTGATATTCTTTTCCTTCAAATTTCTTCATTTTTTTTTATGGTTTTAAATGTTTAAGACTGTAAGGTACATTAATATTTACAATGTAAAAATGATCAGATCAATAATCAATAAAAAAAAATATTTTTTTTGGGTAAATATTGTACAAAATTATGCAAAACAACTTTGGTAAAATAACAACACTAAAATTCAGTTCTTCTATGGTCTGTGTGTGGAGTTTTTGTAGAATCAGATTTCATATTTTTCTCCGCACGTCTTTTCCGCATATTGCTCAGTATGTCGCAGGCTTTCTGAATTTCTATGAATTTTTCCTGTGCGGCTAGTTTTTCTGCGGCTGTGTTGAATTTATCAGGATGATACTGTCGACTAAGTTTACGACATCTTGGCTGGATTTCATCAGGATGAGCAGTGACTCCGTCAAATCCTAACACCTGAATGTATAACACAAACATTCTAACAAGTCGAGACATGTTGATTTTTTGTAGCTTATTGTGAAGTTGCAGTACATGAGAATTGGGCACATGACAAATCAGCACATGAATATAACATTCTAGTGTTCTGTGGTTTACATCTTTTCTACGTGACATACCTCCTTTCCTTATTACAATGAAATTTTACTGGATTGTTATCCATCGCTGGTTTGTTTTTAGCAGAGAATGACCTGTGCATGTTCAAAGAGGGTACCATTTGAGCAGATTTCGCAAAGAGGGTACCGATAAGGATATGCACCGTGTGAATGTATAACTGTAGGACAACACAAAATATACTAAGGGTTTAAGAAAAGTAATTTTAGATTAAAGTTTTAATTTACATTTTATGTGCAATTAAGGACTGATTTTGCTGTATTTATCACCATATTTCTACTGTGTTTCTAATGTAGTAAGGGCTGTTTTGTCTTATTAATTTCAGCCTCTTTTTTGTAGTTAACATGGATTGCATGTAATCTATGCAATGTGTTAATTATTTCTTTGTTCACTTCACAATTGTTTTACTTATATACATTGAAAGTTTTCATGAATCTGGAGGCATGCTGCTTTAATAATCTCTAGAGCAACTTGTCTTTAACAACAACCAAAATATCTGTCCTAAACATGGTCTCTGTCTGTTACTTAACATGGTGTTGTCTAGGGTTGTCAAGGTTAGAGAATATGCTAATTATTTAAAGAGCAACGTAATAACAGTGTTAAAAGTTTAACTGACCGTACTAATAAAATCTTTAGATTTTCATCGTTAACTTTGTTTCTCTATGACAAGATATGCCATTTTGTTCATATTTTGTTGTACTCAAAAATGATTACAATACATATCCGATTATGAAGTAACTGTCTTCTGCTAGGGTCTTACTGTACTCGATCAGATAGGACAAAATACATTGTTGAGTACAACTAAAATATAAACAATTGTCATATCTTGTTATAAAAAAACTAAGGTAATATTTAAAATCAATTAAAAACTTTTTCGCCCCTTAGCCAAATACTAACCTCAGTTAGTGGTTATTGAATTTTCTAACATGGTTTTAGCTAAAAACCAACCGTACCCGTCTAAACGGATAAAAGTGACAGTCCTAGTGTTGTCCTACAGTTGTTGTACTGACTTTTATTTGAGCCGCGTCATGACGAAACCAACATAATTGGTTTGCGACCAGCATGGATCCAGACCAGCGCAGTCTGATCAGGATCCATGCTGTTTGCTGTCAGTTTCTCCACTTTTAATAGAGTTGGTAAGCGAACAGCATGGATCCTGATCAGACTGCGCGGATGCACAGGCTGGTCTGGATCCATGATGGTCGCAAACCCACTATGTTGGTTTTGTCGTAACGCGGCTCATTTTATTTTTCAACCTACCTTATAAGCATGGGCTTCTCCTGTAGGATCGAGATGTTCTACAAGTTGCTGGTAACACGTGTCCCAACCATTCACCTGACAAAACTCGTACAGGTCGTTCATAGTCTTCTTAAAATCTTTCCAGGCCGGAGATTCAAAAAAGTGACCAATAGCTTCGTAGATTGGAACCTGCATCCCGTCACTGGTCGTAACGTGCATGTTGAAACATATCACAGAGCCCCACAGTGTCATATATATACAGCCACATAAAGCTAATACTATTACACGCTTAATAAAGTTACAAACCCCTGTGGGCGTTTCTTTTTCAATGTCCCATTCTCTCTTATAATTTGCCATAAGCGAGGAAAATAGAGGCGCACAGATAACAGATGGGCTCTCTAATAAAAGCCAAGGTGTTGAAATGGCTGCTCCCAGAATACACCACTTAAATGACACCTTCTGAACTCCTATATTAGAAACTAGGCTAACACCTGTAATCATGAAAAAAATTACTACATAACAATTATACTATGTTGAGGTGGTACACATGAAACTAGTGACAAAACTCTCTTCATCTAACAAAAAACATCTATTACAATAAAAACATATCATAGAAACATAATACTATGATGAATTTAAAAAGTGTTTTCTGTAAAATGAGGTTTCACTTTTGAAAACTTTAATAAATTTACTTAATTAATACACTCTATTTTGTGTATAAACAGTTTCTGTATTTATATTGTTTCTTGCAGGTAATATTTCTTTTAAAAGAAACAACAAACTGTGATCTAAGTCCATCACAGGTAATATAAATTTAAAAATCTGCAACAAATGCAGTCATTGTGTTCATTATATCTCATTGTGTTCATCATATGTGATTGTGTTCATTATATGTCATTGTGCTCATTATATGTCATTGTGCTCATTATATGTCACTGTGTTCATTATATGTCATTGAGTTCATTATATGTTGTTGTGTTCATTTTACGTCATTGTGTTCAATAGATGTCATTGTGTTCATTTTATGTCATTGTGTTCAGTATATGTCATTGTGTTCATTATATGTCATTGTGTTCATTATATATAATATAAATGAGCACAGATTACTGCCATCATTATAGGTAATACAATTTATTTGTAGACAGAATAATGGATGCTCCACTAATTACAGAAATATCATTTTAAATACTGACAAAACTGTGCCGTTTTCATGTATAATATAACATAATATAGTCAACATACCTGTAGCTGCACCAATTACTGGTAATATAACTTTAAACATCTGATCCAAACCATACTCCATGTTGTCTAGAACAAATTCTGGTATAGCCAGTCTGAACAAGTAACTCATCATTGTCCCTGTTAGTAAAATAAAACAACAGTTTTTTTTCTTTCTACAAAATAAACAATGAAAAATTAAAGTCAAATAATCATGTCAATCATTGGTTGCTATATAAAGTAAATGGTTGCTAGGTAAAATCAATAGTTGCTATGGAAAATCAATTGTTGCTATGGAAGTCAATGCTTGCTGAGGGAAATCTATGGTTGCTATGAAAGTCACTGGTTGCTATGGGAAGTAAATGATTGCTACTAAAGCCACAGATTGCTAAGGAAAGCCAACGGTTGCTAAAAAAAAGTATAAATGGTTGATATAGGTCACTGACCATTATGCTATGAAAAGTAAAAGTTTACTAAGAAAGTCACTGGTTTCTCAGGAAAGTCAAATGTTGCTATGGAAAGTCAATGTTTGCTATGGAAAGTAAATGCAAGGTATGGAAAACATAGTCTGCCTGAAAATCAATGATCACTGGTTGCTATGGATGTAATGGTTAATATGGGAGTCACTGGTTGCTAAAGAAAGTTAATGGTTGCTATGGAAGCTATAGATTACTAATGACAATCAATGGATGCTATGGAAGTCCCTACTTAATGATAAGTAAATGATAACTGGGTTTAGTCATTTGTTATTATGGAAAACCTAACAAAAAAAATGAAAATTTAGAAAGTTAAAATGGTTGCTATTCAAAGTGAATGGTTCTTATAGAAGTTACCGTTGCTGATTAAGTCTCTTATTGCTAGGGAACTCAATGGTTGCTATGGTTGGATCAAAAGCCAAGGTTTTATGTCAAATAACAAAGCTCTAGCCCTTACTGGTTTTATATTGTCACTGTTTTTGCACTTTATACATATAGGATGAAAAACCTTCACCCACAGGCAAGGAAAAGTCAAACAAACTTTGAAAAGAAACACTAGGCAATGTTAAGTGCTTAATATCTTATAATTGTGCAGGTTCTGAATTTTTTTTCTTCAAATTTTACTAATTGTAACATATAAGGAATATCCATGGCCCCCAATCTCTGTAGGTCGGAGCCAATGTTCACCCATTTTTAGACTTTAATTTGAACAAACTTGGTATATGTCCACTATTAAATGCCATATATCTAAGCTTGATATATCTAAGCATGAATTACCTTTGTGGCTCTGAAAAAACTTTAATAATATACATATAAAGAAAACCCAGGACCTCCGTGCGACCAATTAAGAGGCAAGGGCTATAAGTGGTACAAACTTTGCCAAAATCCAATAGATAACATTTCATGCAATTTTATCTAAGTTTTTGGAGAAGAAAATTTTTGACGCCATAAACAAGGCATATTGCATGACGGACACAGAGTGATAGAAAAAGGTCATCTTTGAGCACTTTGTACTATGTGGCCTCAATCTTACAACACATAAGTAATGTAGAAATTAGGAAACTGTAGTTTACCATATTGCCTACATGATTGTATATATTCTATAGACACGCATTCATTTTAAACACATCTTCTTTGTAGTTATCTTATAAATATTACGAACATCTATGCAGCATTAACATTTAATTAATACAATGTCCAATGACTGTATTATAAATGAATATACAATTGTCATATATCTAACAACATGTTAGATTTTAATTATTTATAATTATCTGCACCTGTGTAAAAAATGAACCTGAACATCACATTTATGAATTGCTAATGGCAACACATAAATTACACTTCCCCTTTGGGTCATCAAACAGATGTGTTTTAATCACCATATTAATCAACATACAAAATTACCCCTAATATATATCTGAACAAATATATGGTTATGCTCAAATTAAATACATTGTTAACAAACAAGAAATAAGGTGTTATTATTGATATATCAGTGTTTATCGATATTGGTACCGTAATCCAATATTCAATGTATCATCAATATACTTGGCACTGAATCAATGACATCTCTAAAATCTGTCCAGGCTCTGTAACTGCCCACTGACCAGTAAACTCCAGTTTCACCTTGATTTCCCTACATGATCATATCCCACTTGGAACTGTCCAATGATCATGAACAGTTCCAACACAAGGGTTCAGAGATTATGTGTGCCAATTTAGCAGCTGTATTGTGGGGTGACTTGACTGTTTGTTTAGAATGTAAAATACCTGTATGGATATTTGAGTTTTTTTATAATGAGGAGAAAGTAACTGTGTAGCAGCCGACACAAAACTCATAAAATGGGCCAAAATGCCTTTTTTTTTAATAAAGGGCCGTAACTCAGCCAAAAATTATTCAACCAGAAAATCTGTCTAATATGCACCAGTACACTGACTACATTGTAACATGCCATTACACAGCCAAAAATTATTCAAAAACATGCATGTCAAGTACTTGATGTATGGATCAATCATGTAACACTTTATTCTAATTACAAGAAGTACAAGAGAAGCCTGTATAAATTTTAAAAATTAAAATAATATATAGAGGGACATAACTCTGACAAAAATCATTAATATGAAAATAACAACTATATGCACAACACGAATTGGTACTGATTATTCCTGTAAAGTTTGGATGGAATTGCACAAGTGGTTTTCAAGTAGTCCTGGAGACAAGTTTTATGATGGATGGACAGGTGGACAGATAGAGAAGTGATCCTTGTACAGTCTCGGCTACTATGTATCAGGTGACACAAAAATAGAACCTGGGAAAGTTCATTTAAGAAATTCAGCTAGTGACTTAAGTTATATAAACTAATGGCACTGACAAGTTGCCAGTGCTGCATACATACCAATGGTTAGGCTGATTATATAGTCTTGTTAAGTTTCTTCTGTGTAAATAATTACATGTACAACTTTATAATTTTATCAAAGTAGAATATGTAACTATGTAACCATTGGCCATTTTCATTTGTTTGTTTGTTGATTGGGTTTTACGTCACACCGACACAGTATAGGTAGCTTGATAATCTTCCGCACATGAAAGAATCCAAAGTCCCTGTCGGAATTTGAACTCACAGCGGTGAGGGGCAAGTGGTTTTAAGTCAACGACAGTTAAAGCCCCTGCCCTGCGGCGATAGTTAGACAATAAAATTTCCACTTGATGTTTGCACACTACAAGTCGGTGCAACTTCATGTACTTGGCACCATTATAAGAGACAATTTCCTAACAAATATTGAAGCAATAAAACAAATGTATGACTCGAGTATAAAGGCAAAATACATTGTAAACAGTGTTATTATCAATTATAAAATGATTAAGAAATTAATTAATTGACTGTCAAATGCTCAGTTATAATTGCTTCCGGTAAATTAACAGCAGCTGTTATATATTCATGTTCAGTACACACATTACATGTACAATCGAGTGGGGTTCCAGTGCTCAGCGCTTTTTTGTTAAAACATGTTTAACATAATTGGAAAATGAACACTCATCACTTTAAATAATACTATTAACACGTTTTTTTTAAAAAGAAGAAAATCTTGTTCATATTTATTTGGTAGCAAACATCTTAAATTGACAAGCAAATTTCTCTTTTAATTAGTAATTAATTGCCTTAGTTATATATTTGCTTTTAATATTCCCAGTTAATTTCAAAACGTCTACTAAGGCCAACATTTTTTTATAAAATGTTTTACGGGACCGCCGACCGTATTTTTAGAGAAAATCAAATAAAAATAAAAGTAAATTTAAGAACTTTTATTTTCATTTTGCCCGCCGACCTCTCTTACCCACTTCTGTCAAAATTAAAAGTTACTTGGTATGGAACACATTTTTCACTTTAGTTGTTAACGGTAGGACCTCGGAACTTGCTTAAAACAACTGACAAAAGTTAGGCCCTTTGATGTTTACATGAATGTTACAAAAGGCGTAACAAAAGGGAAGGGCAATAACTTTACAAGCTTGTAATAAATTTACACGTGTGAATATCACGCGACACCGGGTCACGGAAGTTCGCGTTTTCAATACAACTATGGCAATTTGAGTAATAAATATTAGAGCATTTAATCAAACATGATAGCCTGTAAAGCTGTTAGAAAGCACGACTGGTAATTAACATCCATTGCATAAGTTGATTTGAATAACCTTCACTGTCAGAACAGTTGTAAAAAATTAAATGGGCACGGGATCAAAGCCGTTGATCGACTTTGGTGTCAAAATGAAATATTACTCGATTTACCACGGACCAGGAGAATACTTCCACACATTAAAATTTAGACTCATGTATAGGTTTTATAAAGAAATATAAGTTGAATTTACCTAGACAGATTGAGAAAAACGAGTAACAAATGAGGTCTACTTACATGGTAGATTTATTGTAAGCAAATTGATAGTGAAAACTTTTATTATGAATCTTTGAAAACAATTGATTAATTTATTATACGAAAATAAATTCCCGAAAGTTGTTTGGGGGTCAGATTTTTGTTGTTGTCTTGTTGAAATACAAGGCTTGTTTATAATTGAATACAGTCATCTATAACATTTATTAAGTTAATATTAGTATCATGACAGCAGACAGGTAGTTGTGTGTTTTTAGAAGTTTTTTACTAGATCAATATCGAGAAAATTGGTCTTTTTTCAATGTAAGATAAAGAGCATAAGTCCTCTTTGACATTTCTGTAAAAACTGCCTATAATAAATTCTCAGCAGAAAACTCTGATTTTGTAACAATGTATGCCATTTGATTTTCTATTTACTGTCAATTGCTTTCATTTTACTAATCATTTGAAATACAAATAATTTTCAGAAATTGCAAAATTTTTTGCACATACAGAACTTACTCTCTTAAAAATAATTTGAAGTTGTTGATTCAATTTACCTTGTGAAACTGACATTGTACATTATTATGTTTGTACCACTCCCCCTGTGTGGTGTTGTGGATTAGAATCCTGTCAGGAAGTTAATTTGGATTCCCGTGAGGAAACTATCAGTAAGCTTATAATAGGTTGGTGGTTCTACCTGGTTGCAAGCTTGTGTCAGTAAAGCTTGAGAGTGGCAATACGACCTTGTTTGGATACTCTTTAAATGAAGGGACTAAACTTTGAATTTGGAGTTGTGTGGCATGTTTGCCCTAAATGTGAAAAGACAAAACTAATAGACACTAGATCAGCAGCTACTAAAAACAAAAGCAAAAGTGACTTTAAGCATTTTTTTCAATTATTTTGTTTAAAATTATGTCAAAAATACTTCAAAACTATAAAATCATTGATTTTATGAACAAAAAATCTGTTTTTGGAGTCTTAAAAAAATGTTTGAAAATAAAAATTTTTAACCTAATTTATCATTTTATTTTTATTTTGTGGTCGACTGATAAAAAAATTGAATTTTATTTTTATTTTTATTTATCCCCCCCGACCCAATTTTTTTTAAAAATGTCCCGTAAAACATTTAATAAAAAAATGTTGGCCTAAAGATAAATTAACTGATCTGAAATATTTGTTGTATGAAGATATAAATTATTGAAAAATTCATGTAATTAATCATAATTAAGCATATTCTGTCTGTATTGAATAACATTATGCACAAGACTTACTTAGTATTTCCCAGTGTCACCATGGGTGAGTTAACCATACCCATTCCCAATGGAAAAAATGCTTACTTTTTCCCAATTTTTCAAAAAAAATATTCCAAAGAGAACTTAAATTCTCAATATCAAAACTGACAAATTTGCTGGAGTTCATTCCAGAATGGTAACAGACAGAATCTGATGTTTCCACAAATTCCATTGTTTAATTTTAATGTATTTTTATGCTTTGAATGATAATTTGCACTGGTTTGAATAAATAAACAATCAATTTTAAAAGTACTAGCAAAAGATCATGCAGGAGGTTTCAAAAGGTACCAAATATTTTCCCCACTTAAGCAATTTTACTAGGCAAAAATTCGCAAACAAGGCAAGGTACTTTTCCTAAAATGGCCAGGAAAAGAACTGTAATTTAGATAAATACATGTAGTGATGTGATACATGTATATAGTCACAGCCACAGACACTGTGGAACTCCGATCTAAACAAATTAAAATCCAAATAAAATGTATTTTCTCAATCCCAGCACATATACCTTTCATATAATATATCAATGGAACTCAACCTCGGTATTTTTTAGCAGAAACATCCCTAATTCCCTTGATGTCGCCCCAGCCAGTGTTATATCCTCGGAACTAACTTGTTTCATGTACTACAACTATTACTTAAAATGTATATTTGTAAATCCCATCTAGTGATTTTTTCCCTATATTTTACAGCCGAATAAAGGCTGTTTCCCCTAGCCCAAAATAGGTATATTTTCCCCTAAAAATGCAATTTTTTTCCTGAAATGCCATGTGCACATTCTTCAGCAGAACAATGATGGCTGACTTAAATTGGTTAGTTGGTAAATTTAATTGAAGATGTTCCTTTGATTATATAGCCTCAGGTATGTATCATGCATGTTATATTGAACTGTCACATGTAAGTTGAAAATTTTAAAAAATGTGTGCATAAATTTCATTCTTAGTGAAATATGATTTCAAATTTTCCCCCTTTTCTGATTTATTGATCTATATTTTCCCCTTCAGAAAGCCACAGGTTGTTTAGAAAATTGAAAAATCATTGCCATCACATGTACTGGTAGTCAGACTATTCTCTCCCTTACCAGTTCCTCCCATGACGTCATTCGCTTGTACTTATCTAGTTCTGGCTTCCAAAACTTTATAAGCCGCTATTTAACATTTTTGTTTTTCATCTGATGCGGCATTACGTCATGTCATAGTATATTTATAAACGGGTACCCTAATGACCTTAAGCTAGTACTTATCATATTATATATCTGACATACTGGGAAGTCAAAGGCTGGGACCGCGAAGCGGACCCGGCAATGGACTACATGTGTATATTTAAAATGAAATCAAATAAAAAACAATTAAAAAGTATATACATGTAGTATTTTTACCTATCAATGACATTTCAGACTGTCAGTGCCACCATATTCAATGCAACTCAATGATAATAGGTGGGGTATTCCGATAATGGAACAATCACAACTTTTCGGATTCATACGGGGAAGTCAAAGACCGGGCCCGCGAAGCAGGTCCAGGCTTTGGCTTGCCCGGCTATAGACTACACGTGTATATTTAAAAGAAAATCAAATAAAAAACAATTAAAAAATATATAGAATTCTATACCTAGGCCATCCTTAAAAAAATGTTTGTTTGCAGTAACCCGACCCAGAATTTTCAAGGTGGGTAGGTAGGTCGATTTTTTTTTTTTTTAAATTTTTTTTATTATACTGTACTCCCAAATAAACATGGAATTTCAAAATGCTGGACAATAAATGCTCTGATAATCTGGTAACAATTAATAAACTGATAAATGAATTCTAATTTAATAAGAACTACATTTTATTTCTTCTATTAACCTTTAAAAGAACAAAAACAAAGCACAAGGCATAATTTTCTGATTCAAAAAAAATAATTTCTTATCTTGACCATGAAAAAAATTTTGAGTAGGGGCAAATTTTGTGAGTCGGTCGCGTTACTGCAAACAAACATTTTTTTAAGGATGGCCCTATCAAAGAAATTTTCAGTGTCAGCTCTAGTCGGGCGCCACCATTTACAATATAACTCAATGATAATAGGCGGGTTATTCCGATAACGGAACAAAATCTCAACTTTTCGGATTAATAATAATCGTTGAGGGTTCCGAATGAAAACGGAAGCGGTGCATGTAATACCGAATGACACCTTTAAAACGGAAAAAATGAAAGGATTTTTTTAACGACTTCCACGTTAATAAGCTTTGCTTAATTTCATATTATTAATCGTCGAGTGTTCCGAGTGAAAACGGCTGTGTTGTATAAAATACCGAATGACACCTTGAAAACACCTTGAAAACGGAAAAATGAACTTTTTTTAACTGACTTCTCTGTTCATAGGCTTTGCCTAATTTCTTATAAAAAACTTAATATACGGTTAGCAGTTTTGAAAAACATCTTCATATTTCAAAACAGCTTATACTAAGTTTTTATGATATATATTATAAGTACCTGTCATGGGATTGACAAATATATGAAATGGGTTTTGAATTTGAGGCGTTTTGAGCTCAACACACAAAGTGTCTGTGCCCATGGCAGTAAAACATCTAGAATCAATATTTTACCAATCAGCATTTGACCAGCGAACCTCGCAAGTTTCCACGGTGGTTGTGGATGTTTTGCTCTCCTTGCCTGGAATATGGCCCGGACTCTTTGGTCTTTATTTGCCTCATAAAGATATTCGGGAAGTCTCCACAAGTCACGTATCCATCCGAGAAATAATCCACCTAAAGACATCCACCACACCAACGCTTGTTTATCTCTACCAAGATAAAAATGATGCAGTCCCAACGGTCCACCTAGCACCCAGCATATATACGCAACAATAATATTCGCCATGATACTTCTGACAAACTTGTTTACCACGCGTCCGATAATGAAACAATTCAATTAGGAGCTATCAGGATGTTTATCTAATTTGCATTGCGCATGCTCAGAGTGTCAAAATTGGAAATTTGGATTCTATTTTTAGAAACACGACGTGTAAAGAATTAGTTTCGAATCTTATATTTATTCCTGCATGTAGGCTACTTTGTTTAATTAACTAAAACTTTAAGTGTAATACATTCAGTCAGTATTGTTTCATTTGTGTCTCTGTACCCCCATTTAAATATCCCGTGTCTTGTAAATGCAGTGCTACGGCTTAAGTTGGGTAGTGGATAAAAATAGATTTGAGTTTTCCCAATACCACAATGCAATGTTTTGTTTACAGTTGTGCAGCAACAGAAAACGTGTATCTGTCAGTTGTAAAATGAGTTGAAATTTAGTTTATTGTAAACAAGAAAGTCAATGGATCGACAGAGATTTCATTTAGCAAAAAATCCACAAGATGCAGTTGATAACCTCATCTGGATAAAGGTAAGATAATTGCATGTTAAACTTGTTTTTTGGAATAATTTGACACCATGCAGCTTTGTACATGTAGATATAGATACCAAAATATTTTTTGACCATGTGGAAAATAATACTACAAAACAATAACATTTGCTTTTCAAAACGTTTATTTTTGTGTGTTCACTCAGAATTATTTATAAATGAATTAACAACTGCAATTGGAAGATAGATATATATATCGGCTTTACAAAAACAAGATTAAATATAAGCTTTAAGCTTTGATGCATATAAATGTTATATAGTCCAAAATTATAATATGTATGACAAGCCTACTACTTCGCTTTGCTTTACTACACAGCAAAGCCTTATTAATAGCACTAATAATAGGCTATGTTTATCATTTCAAAGACATTAATTAGACATTGTTTCATTGTTTCACTTAGCAAGTTTAAATATCGTTAATTATAATAGTTTATGTTTAAATATGTAATTTGTATGTATTTTAAAACAGTATTTTTCTGTTAAAGGTCGTTGGTATTGGTAATGCAGGAGTTGGGAAAACATGTCTGATCAAACATTTCTGTGAGAGTAAGGTAAATTAATTTTATTAAAATCAAATGTTATATTTCCATGCCTATAATATGATACATGTACATAATTTCATACAGTCCTTTCATCATCATCATCATCATCATCATCATCATCATCATCATCATAATCATCATCATCATCATCATCATCATCATCACCATTAACCCCTTCACATCATCCTCGTGGTTGTTCTTTTGTTGATGTTAATCATCTTTAAATTGTAAAGCAATGTAGAAAAACATTTCATTATTTAACCATGTTGTTACAGTAAAATACCTTTTTTAAAATTAGAAAGTATTAAAGTATTCTCTTGTGACATGATATTGTTAGAAACAAGTAAAGAAAGAGAAATGTCAACGCTGGAATATAAACTTAAACGAGCATTTTGAAATGGTCATTATGAAGACAATTTTTGTTGAAAGTTAATGAATTCCGAGTGATAATAAAAAGAAAACATTGAAAAAATTAATTATAAGTCATGATGAAACTGTGCAATCAGATTTCAGATTTTACTAGATTAAATGTTAAATTTACGGGGGGGGGGGGGGGGGTTGTCCCAAGAAATCGGGGACTGTTTAGATTTTGAAGGATAAATGTAACGTAGTGCGAAAGAAATTGAAATGGGCTAATCCTAATAGATCAGTTGCAGTTAATGCTGCACTTGCAGCAGCGGGGTACCCACTTACCAAACACATTTTAACTATTAACAATTCTAGTAACAGTATTGTACTATGGTATGCATGATGTGAGCATAGTTTTCGAATCTAGCACCACTGAGAAACGACTTCCTTCTAAGGGAGAAAAAAAACCCGGAAAAGTCTAACGGCGCTCAGCCCGGCGAGTAGGGGAGACGAATGGCTCTCCCGAACTCAGACACGTTAATCCCCAATTGCATTGAAATGTGTTGTTGTCGGGATGTTGCTTCGTGAGTAATACGTCTTCGGCCGCTTCTTCCGTGGAGCTTCTATCCAATCACGGCACGTACTGGGTCTGCAAACCAAACACGCCCATAGTAGTTAATATCATTAGAAATACGAAATGTAGTGAATGTTAATATTTCTCGTATTGCTGAAAATGAAATATGAATATTACGGAATTATGTTGTTTGTATTTTCAGTTCAGTGGAGGGTATCAACCTACTGTAGGTGTTGATTATGGATTTAAAATTCAAAACGTAAAAGGGTATGAGTGTAAGTACTAATTTACAAATATAAATATCTATGTTTTAATTATAGTTTGAACATTATAATTATGTTGTATCATAGTTTGGGGACCTTTCTGTTGAAAATGTGTCAGAGTAAAATCGTATACATATACATGTACATGCACAGTGCGTTAACAGGAGTGCACGTATGAGTTACCCGCACTCAAGAGCATGCCCGTTAATTGGCTCATTTTTGCTGGGGCTTACATATTGAGACGGCAGAGAAAGAGAAAGCGACAGAAATATCATATTCAGATGTTCGTTAATTGGTTCCTTTTTCCAGGGGTTTCATATTGTGACAACAGGGAACGTGTTTTTATGTTTGACTATGATACAAAAGAGAAATAACATCAAAACACTCGGCAATCTGATTAATACTCGTGGGGCTACTACGATGAATATGAGACCATGTCTAAGATTTCAAGATTTTTCAGTTTTTTATTTCAAAAGACATAAACATTTTACAATATCCGTCGCCACGGCACAAACGACATGACGGTCACATTCGAATTATTTATACAGCAACGATATCTTACAGAAGGCATACAACAATGATCTTATACTTGTAAGGCATACAGCAATGATATTATACTTGTAAGGCATACAACAATGATCTTATACTTGTAAGACATACAAAAGTTATCTTATAATTGTAAGGCAATCAACAATGATATTTTACTTGTAAAATATTATACGTCAATTATCTTGTACTTGTAAGACATACAACATTGATATTTTACTTTTTAGACATACAACACAATGATCTTATACTTTTAAGGCATACAACAATGATCTTATACTTTTAAGGCATACAATAATGATCTTATACTTGTTAGACATACAACAATTATCTAATATATATAAGACATACAACAGTGATCCTATACTTGTAAGGCATACAACAGTGAGTTTATACTTGTAAGACATACAACAGTGATCTTATACTTGTAAGACATACGGCAATGATCATATATTTGTAAGACATACAACACTTATTCTATACTTAAAAGGCATACAACAATGATCTAATACATGTAAGACATACAACAATTATCATATACTTGTAAGACATACAACAATGATCATATACTTGTAAGACATACAACAATAATCCTATACTTGTAAGACATACAACAATGATCTTATACTTGTAAAACATACGACAATGATCATATATTTGTAAGACATACAACAATTATTCTATACTTAAAAGGCATACAACAATGATCTTATACATGTAAGACATACAACAATTATCCTATACTTGTAAGACATACAACAATGATCATATACTTGTAAGACATACAACAATAATCCTATACTTGTAAGACATACAACAATGATCTTATACTTGTAAGACATACGACAATGATCATATATTTGTATGACATACAACATTGATGTTTTCTTGTTAGACATACAACAATGATCTTATACTTGTAAGGCATACAACAATGATCTTGTACTTGTAAGACATACAACTATTATCCTATACTTGTAAGACGAACAACAGTTATCTTATAATTGTAGGGCATACAACAATGACCTGATACATGTAAGTCATACAACAGTTATATTATACTTGTAAGATATACAACAACGATCTTATATATGTAAGACATACAACAATGATCTTACACACGTAAGACATACAAAAATGATCTGATACTGGTAAGACATACAACAGTGATATTTTACTTGTAAGTCATACAACAATGATTTTACACTTGTAAGACATACAACAATGATTATATACTTGTAAGGCATGCAACAATGATCTTACACTTGTAAGACATACAACAATGATATTATACATATCAGGCATACACCAATGATCTTGTACTTGTAAGACATACAACAATGATTATATACTTGTAACTCATAACAATGATCTTACACTTTTAAGACATACAACAATGATATTATACATATAAGGCACACAACAATGATCTTGTACTTGTGAGACATACAACAATGATTATATACTTGTAAGACATACAATAATGATCCCATACTTGTAAGACATACAACAGTGATCTTATACTTTTAAGGAATACAACAATGATCTAATACTTGTAAGGCATACAACAGTGATATTTTACTTGTGAGACATACAATAATGATCTTATTATTGTAAGGCATAAAAGAATGATCTTATACATGTAAGGCATACAACAGTTATCTTATACTTGTAAGGAATGCAAAAATGGTCATATACATGTAAGACATACAACAATGATCTTACACTTGTGAGACATACAACAATAATCTTATACTTGTAAGACAAACAGCAACGATCTTAAAGAAGGCATACAACAATGATCTTATACTTGTTATGCATAAAACAATGATCTTATACTTGTAAGACATACAAAAGGTACCTTATACTTGTGAGGCATACAACAGTGATATTTTACTTGTAAGACAAACGTCAATGATCTTATACATGTACTTGTAAGACACACAACATTGATTTCTTTTGTTAGACATACAACAATGATCTTATACATGTACTTGTAAGGCATACAACAACGATATTATACATATAAGACATACAACAATGATAGTATACATATAAGGCATACAACAATGATCTTATTCTTGTAAGACATACAACAATGATAGTATACATATAAGGCATTCAACAATGATCTTTTACATTTAAGACATACAACAATGATCTCATACTTGTTAGACAAACAACAGTGATATTAAGCTTTTAAGGCATACAACAGTGATCTTATACTTGTAAGGCATACATTAGTGATCTTATATTTGTAAGATATACAACAGTGATCATATACTTTTAAGGCATACAACAT